TGACAAACCTAGTCCATAAAGACGCTTTGGTATACCTTGAAGATTTGCTCAAGCTGTTGTAATCAGTCCCTTATAGGAATCAAACTTATGAGTTCCCATATGATGCATCAACACCGAAATTTTGTGAAGCCTAGTGATGCTTCATGTAGTAAATATTATATGGTTAATATGGGGATTTAACAACTGTGAGGTTATAATGAAAACACGCGCTACGCGCTAACGCGCTAGCGCACTAACGCACTGTTCAGAATGATCGTTCCCACAGGCCCGGGAACATGTATAAAAATCGAGTGAGTGACGAGATTAGGTGGCTCATCAGAAAGCAGAAGTATGAAGAAGCCCAATGTTTGATCGTTAACTGTGCAAAGATTATCGATTGTCAGTGTGTTTTATCTGATTTAAAAGGAATATAGAAAGTAGCACCTTACAAGATGAATGGTCGCAGATATGCGAATATGCTCCCTATTTCATTGCATTATTTGGGTCCATCCATCGGCGAGAAAAATCCCGTTTCGAAATCTGAGCCGGGGGCCAGACTACTTGACTAATGACTTAATATAATGTTTATTTGTCGCATGTTACCTCTTAATATCAAGTCATGGATGTTTTATATATCTTTACTCTTTGTATTTGAAGTTATATCTCACATGACTTACCAAACGGTGGGATAATTCAGGCGTCGCATTTATATTTTTCCATTTTTCTTTTCGTGCCCGGTTACTCTCTTTCGCTTTCATGGGGGGGGGGGGGGGTGTATAGGGTTATCGTATAAGAGGAGGGTGAAAATCTATTGTGTATGGCCGCATAAGAGGGGGCAACATTTATCGTATATGGCATCGTATAAGTTAAATAAACATATGTTTTAAAAGAATTAAAGAAGCCTATTATGAAATTTAAAGGCAGTTTGAACGAATACTGCAGATCCAGCTTATCCCCATAAATTTGGGATTTCAATACACAAGTAGTTGAGGGGGCTTGCCCGTAGCCAGCTTTTTTCCAGGGGAAGCTTTTTCACAATTTTGGCTAATAATCATGAAAGAATCTCTGGCCAGAGGGGGAGCTCCGCTCCCCCAGCTCCCCCTCTGGCTACGGGCCTGGTTGTGGGGGTGATTTGAAAAATTTATGGGGGTAATCCAGATCTCTATATAGTAGTCTCTATATGCCATATGCCAGGACAGTAACCAGGATTTCCCAGGGGGGGGGGTCACTTTTTCAAAAATTCCAAAGTCACCCTCCGAACCCCCCTTGCTTCGGGGCTGTGTACTGCCTATTTGCCGTATGATTATACATTTGGTACTACGTGGATTCTTGCATTATGTTATTTCCTTCTGAATATTATCCAAACTTTTCTCAACGGTAATTTCAAAATTATCATACAGATATATTATTTACCCGACCTTTTTGTAAAATATAGTACTATAGGGAGTAGGTGCATTCATGCACCCTCTGGGTCTCTGAGGATCGTGTTGGTTCACCGTCTATATAGGGAGATGTGAAAAATATTGCATACACTGTATGTTATACATGTAAAAGGGGTGAAAAATGCTGAAAATGGTATAAGACTGAGGGGCTTGTGAAAAATAGTGTATATGGATTTCCAAGACCCCTATGAACCCCCCTTTCAAGTTTGCTTTCGTTTTTCTCAATTTGATTTTAGATTTAAAAAGTTTTGAATTACGTCAGTCCCAGTGAATTGCATTACCTATTTTTATTTTACCAGGAATATTGTTGAAAACAGGATTGTGTTTCATTTGGAATTAAAGTTTTAAATAAGAGACGATTTAAAAAGTAATGTAACCCCGACCACCAGCGTGTTTTATCATTGTCCGGTAATTGGCCGTAAATATTTATTAATTCTAAGTTACTCATGTTCTTTCAGGTCAAATACAGAGAAAAGTACACGTTCATTTAGTTTTGAAATTATTTCCTAAATTGAAGTTGAATTCTGTTTTTTAACGGTGTGAAGAACATCTTAATTGGTCTTATATTTTTAGAGAAATCGTAACTTGAAAAGTGTAATTTTCGAGAGGCTTTGTTTATTTCCTGCGGCCGCAAAGTTCACATCAAAGTCTGATTGACAGGTTAGCGGTGATTTATACAGTCTTTGAAGTGTCAATGTTTTGACAAGTTCCCAGGGAGTCATAACCCTAATTATACATGTACCTGGGCCAAGGGTATAGACCAATCATAAACATGCGCTTAAAACATGCGCACACATCGTGGGGGAAGGATCATTTTCTATTAGCGCATTGGCGCGTGGCGCGTTAGCGCGTAGCGCGTGTTTTCATTATAACCCAACTGTGAACCCGAATTCAAGAGTAGTATGGGCAGTTTGGGAGTGGGAAGGAGCATAGTCATAATGGAAGATAACTTCCCGCTATTTTGAGTCATGATTTTTTACTTTGAGAGTCTGACGAATGTTAAGAAAATAGAGCAAAGTACACTCTTATATCGCAATTCAGATGTTACTTTAGAGACTAAAGTTAGAAATATTAGAAAAAATAGAAAAATTACAGAAATATGTCCTCCAAATATGTATTGATCAACCATACTTTTGGTTCGAGTAAAATAAAAATGAATTCAAATTTTGCTTGACCCGCTATGCCATTTGTCATGTTGCTATAGTAACAATAACTATCCACTGTGATATCATATGACAATGAAACTGCTTTATCCAACCCAAAATTACATTCCCCATTCACCTTGAAAATTTCAAGTGATTTTGTGGAAAAATAATGAAATGACAGATAAATTCCCATAACTTACTGATCACCCTGTATTGTATGTTTTCCAGTTGAATTATGTTATTTGTTATTGGTCCTAATATGATTAGGGACCACCAATATGTATGTGACAGTTTTGAAGTTCAAAAAACTGGTAAAATTGGTTAAAGTAAATTGTATATGATAATCAGAGCCGGGATTCAGAGATACACAACTAAAATAACGAGGAATTAAAAATAGCCTATAGACCAATGTAGACTGCAATCGTGGACTCTCTTGAAAGCCCATGCTATAATCAAGGTAATTTTGGGATATCCCGTCTTTGAAGAAGCAAAAACGCAATCAAACAGTTAATTAGTTATTGTGTGATCTAGATTACAGATCAAAGAAATCAATTTCAAGATCATTATTACTATGTATTTAGTTCGTTGTATTTTTGAAAAGGGGTACAAGAAAACTATGTATTAATATATCAAGGGCAGGGTGCTACTGAATCTGATAGTTAAAGCTGGGAAAATGCTCTCCCCCATTTTGCAAATATTGTGTGATGCCAATGAACCCTGAAATTTGTTTTTGTTTTCGCGAGCAATCAACAAATATGTTTATGAAAATCTTGCGAGTCCAGACATATGATTCTCATTCTGTCTCAGCTTAGTGCACTGTTGTGACGTCTGTGTCTCCCTCATTTTTACCCTATTATTCGGTTTCTTTTTAAACCAAATTTACAAATATCCGTTCATATATATAAATCAGTAGTTGTTTATGACAAGATTATGTTTAGCCCCCCTCCCCTTCGCCGACAGTAATGTATTGTTTAAAATAATACTGCATCCACCGGCCAATTATTCTTTCACCATTTTGAACAGTTTTCGTGTGATTTTGAACAAATATCAAATTTGACCCCACCCCTGGAATAAGTTAGCCCCCCCCCCTCGCCGACAGAGATGTCTGGTTTAAAATAATACTGTATCCCCTGGCCAATAATTCTCTCACCATTTTGAGCAGTTTTCGTGTAATTTTTGAGCAAATATCAAATGTGACCTCACCCCTGGAATAATTCAAAAGTCATCCCCTAATATTAGCAAATGCTGGATTCGGCCCTGGTACTTGTCAATGCGAAATAATGGGCGTTGATTAGTGGAAATACCCATTTAAACAGACCTTCTTAATTTATAACAAGTTTACAATTAAGAAGCCATGTTGCGATGTACTTTTCGTGACTCAAGTCGGATATAAAGTGAAAACATACTCTTTTTGATTTGATATCCCGTATTTAGCTAAAGCAAAACACGAAATATTAACACGTGCGTTAAATTATGATTTAAATGTTTCCATATATAGCGCAAAATCTCACATGGCAATTTAATAACGACTAATTTTGTCTTGTGTCTAACCACGGCGTGCTTAGAGATTTCTAGACTCTGGTCACGCTCTGTCCACGCCAGCTCTAAGCACGTCTAAGCACGCCTAGAAATCTCTAGATACACGGAGTTCCTAGACCGACTAAGCACGTCTAGAAATTACTAGAAATTCCACATTTGATGCAGTGCTGGCTACACCACGGGTCTATCAGGGCAACACAATCTTCATCTGGCCTCAGTAGGTACAGTTTGGACCATAAATAAAATGATCGAGTAGTCGATTTTCACTTTTTCCAAACCATGGTGGCTTGAAAACCCATAGTTTCCAATAATGTTTAGATACATATTCCATAAAAGTTGTATATTTTACATTCTGTATACTCTCAACCACCGATGTATGCCCTCTTGAAAATTCTCTTATTTTTAACATGGCAAATTCTCATTTCAGCAAATCCATGATTCAAAAATGTAGCTTCCGATCCTCGTTTCTATTGTCAAAGTCGGCTATGAAACCATGTGTGTTAATACTTTAAAAAATGTACAGTATATAAAAATCCTTCCTCAAAACTACATGTATGTTCATTTTGGTGATTAAGTATAATCATGGGCCCATGGTTTAATACAGCAATTGATGTCATACAATGTACGAGCTGAATGTGTTTATCTTCATCCAATATGGTTACATGTAATACTAGATATAGTATCTGGTTACTTTATTTACCTTGCTTTCTCTTCTGAATTTTTCACTCACTTATGATAATATTGCCCATGATGCATTATCATCTTCTCTAAGGTATCAGGCCTTACCTCACTAGGTTCAGTATTTTTCTCTGTGAAGGCTTTACAAAAATAAGGAAGATTCAACTTTACCAGGTGATGTTCGATGAAATAAATAATTGCATAAATAATGTTTCAGGTACATTGTCTTGACAAGCAAACATCATGAGGGTTTCACCAACTGGCCCTCCAAGGTCTCCTGGAACTGGAATGCCTATGACAATGGACCCCACAGAGATCTTGTAGGCAAGTGAACAGCCTTATTAGTTGACAGTAAATAAGTTGAAAGATATATAACTGAATGCTTTTTTCTGTATTAATTATTAGCACTTGTTAGGCAAAACGCACCCACTTTCTGTGATATTTTACTTTTTGATGTTTACAGGAGATCTTGCAACTGCCATCCGTAGCCGTACCAACATCCACTTTGGTCTCTACCACTCTCTATTTGAATGGTTCCATCCTCTCTACCTTCAGGACAAAGCTAACAAATTTCAGACCAACAAGTTTGTCATGGTAAGTCAAAAGAAATATATTTACTCAGTATAAATTCTCAGTACGTTGATAATAATGATTTATTTTGAAAAACCTTCCATTGTTATGTGACATAACACCTAGCACCTTATTTCATGATCATTGACGAAGTGTTATATTCAGAGTTTACGATCTCAGTGGAATGGAAAGCCAACAAATCTTTGAAAAGTTTTATCACATGTACATTTATTTTGATACGGTGTGATGCAATCTGAGTGTTTCTGATATAACTGAATCTGAAAATACCTGACCAAAATTGTTTTCAAATACTCGGGTATGCACAAGTATATAGGTGTAGCTACCCCCTTGATGATTAACAATCTTCACTGAATAAACATTGGTTGATATTACAAGGAAAAAACTCTCCCAGAATTGGTTGAGATAGTGAACACTTACAAGCCAGATGTTGTGTGGTCTGATGGATCAAAAGGTCCAGACTGGTATTGGAATTCCACTAACTTCCTTGCCTGGCTATACAATGATAGGTACTGAGGTTATACATGTCATGATGCTCTTACTATGCTAGAATATTTTCTCTCCCTATATCTTGACACTGTTAACTGAGGTTATGGAAGTAGTTTAGGGGTGGAACATTTAAATTTTGAGAGACATGAACTGCATCAATCACAAATATTCTGGCTAAACATGAAACATCCTCTGATCACAGGGCTTCAAAATCCAGAATATATACTTTCTTTTTACCCCCTCCCCAATTAAGAACTCGTAATCTGATTGGCCGTCGCAATACTGCCACAGAAATTATGTATAAGTCATTGTCATAATTAGATCACGTGATTCAGTTTAATCGGGCGCTTCCAAATTGGTTATAGCAGGGGGAAGAATGAGGTACGGATTCTGGATACCTGCTTAGGAGGATGAATATGAAAGGGAAACATTTTTTTGCTTGAGTTCACATTTTCGGAAATTGTTGTATTTCAAATTAAATCACTTACAAAATGGTTGTCACTCAATAGATTTAATGTTCCCTCCCTTGAGTGTGTTTGTAGCTGTTGACACAGAGCTGCTATTTTTATGATTTTTCAATTCAATTAAACCTACACCAAGGCTTACATGTATGTCTCAGTCACATTTGCTTTCTGGTTGCCATAGTTCCCTGAAATCAAGAAATACTTGCAGTGGCCACATAACATCAGCAGTTGCTGAAATGTCACCCCTTAATGCCATTTAAGCAGATGTGACTGAGGTATTATGTGCAATATCTTTAGCTTTGCCATCTTCCTGTTGCATCTCTGCATAAAGCTCTGGCTGAAGCCTTTGAGTATGTGAATGCTTAGATTTTGGGTTATGCCTCCCAAGATCCAATGATTCATTCACATGGGAGTTCTAGTGCATTGATTGTCGTAGCCACCCTCAAGAAAATGTCTTGCTAGCCATCTTCGCCTACTCGGTCTTCACTGTGACCAACGGGAGCCGAGTGAACGAAGATGGCTTCTAGCCCAGTTTCCAAATTTTATATTCTAAGTGTGAAATATTAGGATGGGGTAGAAATGAAGAGCCGAAGACAGGTATGTCAGTTTCTTTGTGTTTCTCAGGATAAAACTCTGATGGAACTCTATGAGATCGTGAACACATACAAGCCAGAGGTTGTATGGTCTGACGGAGACGCAGGCCCAGATTGGTACTGGAACTCTACCAAATTCCTCGCTTGGCTTTACAATGACAGGTACATCACATTATTGGGCTTACGTTTTGGTTGTTTTTGATTTAATCCTAGGATAAAACTCTCCCTGAGTTGATGGAGATTGTTAATGCCTACAAACCAGATGTTATCTGGTCAGATGGTGATTGGGAGGCAAAAGATTGGTACTGGAACTCTACAGACTTCATTGCGTGGCTTTATAATGAAAGGTACACTGAGTTATACAGTTGAGCATGATAGTGGAATTGGGTTTGGAAATCTGAATGGGGAAATACATATAGTAATATTAATGAACTGTTGAAAATGTAAGATGCATCATCAGAAAGATTTTCCACCTGTCAGAATTGAAGAACTTAACCTCAATATGGAGATTTATAAATGATGTGCTGTTGTCCTGGTCCATTTGTTCCCTTAAATTATATTCTGGTTTTTGCTCTGATGCAGCATTCCTTATTCGGTGCCAATTCTATTCTGAAATGCCAATAGTCCTGACCATATTTTCTGAGAAATTCAAATCAAATGCATTTTAACATTTCTGCATTCTAAGTTGTCATGAACCTCCATATTTGATCAGTTACTGTACTCCCCATAATTTTCGCGTACTACTATATTTTGCGTTTTTCGCGAGTTTTGGAAGATTCGCGAAATATAATAGTCTTGAAATTCCTGGGAATTTATTTCACTCAATGTTGATGATAGTTTCGGCAAGTATTGGGCGATAAAAGGTTGGGAGGTTACCGTATTCTTACATTCTGATTCTGGAAGATCATAATTAAATGAACATTCTCACAAAATTGCTCTGGATGAAGGGTAATCATGGCTGATTTTGAAGTGGAAAGCATGGTATCGCATGCTAAAAATTAGCGAAACATAATATCCACAAAATTTCAAAAACCAAAATAAAATGGCGTCAAATATTAGTGGGAGTACAGTATCGTAAATATTTTGTCAGCTGTTAACTTTGGGATTGTAAGGTCTTGTAAACATTGGTTCCATAACACATTCTATCTTTTGCTGCTACCTTAGAGGAAAGCTTAATATGTGCTTTCATATTTTCAATGCTGCGGTGCTAAATGTATCTTAATGTATGCTCAAAATAGTTATCATGCTACTATACCCTCTGCACCCTAATTGAGGGAATCTGGGTGACACGAAGTATCAATTAAAAGGAGTAAAAGAAAGTATTCTATTCATCATTTCAAGAAGATTTAAGTTGCATCATGGTATCAATGTTTTTATCCCAGTAACTCCATCTTCATACATAATATTTCAGGTATAAAAGTACATTAAGTTTTTTGTTTGTCTTTTGTAAATGTCAGCAATGAAGCTCCAGCTAAAACCTTTAAATAATGCCTCCACTATCTGGCGGGATAACAATTTAAGTTGAAATATTACTTGGCTTTATTTTATTAATGATGTGATTTGAACTTGTAACATACTAGAGTTATAACCTTTGATTAGAGGGTGACCCAAAAAGTGTACATTGAATTATTTGATTTTTCACATGTTTTATGTCCAATCTTTGTGTAACAAGTTAACATTTCGTTATTAATCATCATGATAAACTATATTTATTTGTCATGATATCTTGAAATGAGACATTTATTGTGCAAACTCCTCATTTTGATTGTTTGTGTGCTTGTCTTGAAAAGAATCCAAAAATATGGGCCACAAACACTGTCAAATAATTTTTAATATGCATATATAGGCTGCAAATTGTCAGCGACAATCCCAGCAATTGAAGGAACAATCATCTGAATGACACATTTATTGTCATTGTGCACAAGATTTGCCCTATTTATTCATCATCATATATTATTTCATATTAGCTCAGAATTTTACAATTGACCCAGAACAACCCAAGTTTGCACTCTAGGGCGATGTGCAGGTTTAGTCTGAGTCTATTTTTGGGTTACCTTGAACATAACAATTCTTTATATTCAACTTGTCTAATGATGATTTAGAAAAATATGATTTGATGATATAATAATGAAAATAAAATCAACTCTTACATTTTTTAGAAAATCTAAAATAATATTTGTAAAATGTTGTAAGCCAACTTTATTTTGTTGTATTTCGTTGTATATGTTTTACTACTAGTCGAACTTTTATCAACAATTTGCTTTTCAATTTGGGTACCGAATACAAAGAAGGTCAGGTCAGGTCAATGACATTAACATAGACAACAAACTCAAGATGTGTACAAGACGTTGACTGATATCCATGAAATTGAACTCGCTATCTACAACTCGCTGTGCATAAAATAATGCAAATCTGTATTTGAATTTTGAAAAAAATGTGAACAAAATAAAGGTGGGTTACAGTATTAAAAGTGATGCAACATGACATGATTTTTTGTTGTACATTTTTAGCCCAGTGAAGGACACAGTAGTGACAAATGATAGATGGGGCTCTGGTACTGCATGTAAGCATGGCGGCTACTACACATGTTCCGATAGGTATAACCCAGGTTAGTATTGTATTACGAGTTAATAGGGAGTTCATATGTGCTTCCATGATTGCGAAATGTCTGTATTAATTTTATCAACATGCCAAATATTTGGATTTCTTTGGTTGTACACATCAAAAAGGCTTGACTAACTTAAAGTGTTTTGCTTTACTCAATCTGTGTTTCCTTGTATATACTTTTGTACATGTTGTATGCAAATAGATCTTTAAATACCACTGAATATTAATTTTTATGTCACCACCCCAAGTAGTGACATATTGTTATTGTCTCAAACTTTTTTGTGGATGGCATTTGGCGTCTGTATCCCTGTGTCTGTACAAAATGGCGTCTGTTATATGGGGTCTGTAACAAATGGCATCTGTAACGAATGGCAGGTGGTAACATTTTGCACATTAATGGCTTCTTGAATGTGTCACTGACACAAATCAGTGTTTAGTAGTACATGTACTAATCTTTGTAGAATTATTTATTTGTTGCACTCAGTAATAAATCCTGATAACTGGTCATTCTCCTCTGAAACAGAGTCAAATATGTGAGTTATATGTCTAGTTATGTATTAAATAGTCACTTCATGTATTATTTTAGGAGTTCTCCAAAAGCACAAGTGGGAGAACTGTATGACAATAGACAAGGCTAGCTGGGGATACAGGAGGAACTCTGGACTTGCTGATTATCTCTCCACTCAGGAACTTATCACAGAACTTGTAGAAACAGTCAGGTAATGTTAGGATCGTTAATATTGCTTTTTCTTGAACTGATGTGGCCTGCTCTATTGAACCAATGTAAGTGAATCAAATGTCTCAAATGATTTAAATTCAATATGAAATTCAGAAAGTTAATTTGCAGTACATGTCCAAGTTATTGTTTATTTCTAGTTGTGGAGGTAATTTGCTGATGAATGTTGGACCAACGCATGATGGAAGAATCGTGCCTATCTTCGAAGAACGTCTTAAAGATGTTGGACAGTGGCTTAATGTGAATGGCCAGTCTATCTTTAAGTCAAAACCATGGGCACATCAGAATGATACTGTAACAAAGGGCGTGTGGTAGGTACCATTATGATATCATACAGAAAGATACTCTTCTTTAACAAAGATGCTAAAAATCTGTAATCTGTAACATGATGCAAATACAACGTTTGCCATGTTTTATTTATCTGTTTTATGTGTTATCTCTGAAACATACGTTATGAAACATTCGTTATTATCATCATGTAATTATTACACCACTTCTGATGATGACACCCAATTATGTTAGATGGTTGGTGTTTGGCATTTGATGGTTGGTGTTTGGCATTTGTAACAAATGGCATGTGGTGACATTTTGCATGTTAATGCCTTGTTTTTATTTTACAATCCTCACTAAGATGCATTATGCAACTGAGGTAACTACTAGTACTACTCTGTTTAAGGTACACAATGGGCAAGTCTGAAACTGGAACGAGCGTGTATTCTATTAACCTGCAGTGGCCTATGACCAACAGTTTGGAGCTAGGAGCAGTTACACCCAACGATAACCTCAAAGTCTCCCTTCTTGGCTATGCAGGGACATTTAACTGGCACAAGAGAACAGGTGGTGGAATTGTGGTTGAAATTCCCCCCATTCCTGCCAACCAAATGCCCTGTCAATGGGCATGGGTATTCCGTCTTGATGGACTAGTATAAGTCAAAGGTTTAGCATTCTTTAAGTGCAACAACTTTTGCTCATTTGCTCTTCATTCATTTCTGCGTATTGCAATTTGAACACCAACAATGAAGTAATTTTCAGAGTTTAACTTAAAGTAAACCAATATATAGTACTATATACTCTTGCAATGGAAATTAGATTAAATGTTGTTTTTTGCAAATATTTCTGTACATTATTTTTAGAATATTTTTAATTAAAACTATCAAATGTATCTCAAACACTCAAGCAGCTGAACGATGTATATATACCTGTATACAGTATTTTTTCTATTTAGAGTAGTACATTTACTATTGCAGGATAATAACATAAAAATATAAAATATTCTCAAAATATACCATCCTTCTATATTATGTAGTCAGGCATTTAGCATCTTGATATTATCATATTGGGTCACTGTACTGTTTTCTGTACCTTGCGGTAGAATGTAAAGTTTACATGTTCATACTTCTTGCAGTGTTATGTCATGGTTATGTAGTACAATGTTACCAAAGATACTCATACAGTGCACCAGACTGTATACGTCGTATATATGCATAGTCCCAATGTTGACAGAAAGATGCCAGCTCTGCATCGTGAGATATCACAGCCTTCTCTCAGTGTCCTTCTTGTGCATAGCAGAGATGGTCTGAGTATCAGAATGCCAGCTCTGAGACTAGTACTCTCTCTACAATCTCCTAGCATTTCGTTCAGTGTAAGGTACACAACGAAACTACTTTTGGAGAAATGTGTCTACTTAAAAAATAAAATATGCAGACATATCCCCTTCCATCATTCTGTCTACCTAGTCCCTATGCATATAATCTGTGTGCAAATAAATTGCAGTTAATAAATAAACATTCCATTATGATGAAATTCAAGGTACAACATGTTTGAGTTGCTGCACAGAACATGAATAATGCATATTGTATTTGTGTGTAATTTGACAAGCGTTTTAATTTGGAGAACCGGGCCAATATCTGTAAAAACATTTGTCACTAGTTTGACGATGTTTATTCAAGGGTGTTTATCATAAATATATGCCAATTGTGACTTTCCTTAAATGTTAAGCATAGGGTTCCTTTCATGTATTAATGCAAATGCAATGTCTGTGCCATTCTAACCCTTGCAAAAACATGAAAATGCCACTTTAAATAGAAATAGATTCCTTTGTTTGCAATATGCAAAATGTCGAAGTAGTGCCAAATTAATCATGCATTAAATGATGGCTATAATTCAAACATGTTGTATTTTCTGATATTATGCTATTAGATTTTCACATCAATAAATCACTTTAAACGTACACAATGATATTTTGTTCAACTTTCTAAAAACAGATACAGATAAATAATGTTGTAATAGGTTAGGATGACTTTACGTGTACTTCATGTTAGAAGCTGAAAGAGAAGTAACGAGATAAGGTAATCAAAGTGTTAAATGAAATCCGTTTCACAAATTATTGAAAGTCATGATGAACATTGCAAACACGTTTTATTACACAAGTTTTGTTCATAATACTTAATATCAGTTAACCTAATCATTAACGTCAACGTATGATGTGAAGTCAAGGTAACGGGGACATTTGTTGCATTCCTCGTGACACTGCATGAGCATGCCGAGTGAGTATTTCATAAAATTAACAGATCAATTTTATGTTTTAATTATATAAATTAATATTACTACATGATCATCAGTATGATTTGAACAGAAACGATGATTCAATAAATGACGGTTTGGATTGTTGATTAAGGAGATGACGCAGTTAACTAGCCACGTCAGTTATTAATGTCACCGCCATGTGAAGTGGCGACATATTGTTATAAGTTTCAACTTTTTATTTGTGGAAGGTGTCCGACGGTCGGCGTCTGTTACAAATGGTAGATGGTGACATTTTAAATATTAACGCTTGTATTCCTTTGTTTCCCAAGGGTGAAACCTCTCAACTCGATTTGATCCTAGTCTCCTCAATCTTCTTACTTAGCCAAACTCCCCAAGCTCCTCTTATCTTCCTTTTATTTTATTTTCCATTACGTCTATCCAAAACTCGTTCCTCCTGTTCCAATCCTCCCAGTAATCCTTTAATTTTCTCCATTTTTGTATTCAGGTGTAAAAGGGTAGGAGGTCCTATCAAATTATGTTCCTACTCTCCATTGATTTATATGGTGACCTAAATACAACTCTCTCTTATTATCTTATACACAATCAGGACCAGTAAGGGCCGTTTAGAAAGGGGACCATAATCCCCAGGGGACCATAATTTCTTTCACACCGGCCTTACTCCAAATGATTCCACTAACGATCTACACTTCAATTCTCATTCAAATAACACTTCATAGTCGATGTATATCTCTACCAGCAATAACAATATTGTCAGGCCAACAATATTTATGAAAACAATGCTCAGTGTTATCAGCACACACCTCCTGCATTAAATGAAGGTCAACAGGATATTCAAACATAAAGTGCTGATAGAAGTGGAATTCTGATGTCTTTGTTAGATATGATCACGATGATATCACAATGAACGTGGTTTGTTTAAATGACAATTCAAAGCAATAACAATCATGTGATTTGAACAACTACAAAATACAATAACCTAGGTCCTATTTGTATGAAATGACAATGGAATCAGTTTGGCACATAAACATAAGGAACATTTTCATCATATGGAGCATCCTCGGCTTCACGTGTCAATGTATTCACTACTCCCCAACATGGGAGTCCTTGGACAGTAGGCCTATACCGACCTGGTATGACGAGGCAAAGTTTGGTATTTTCATCAATTGGGGTGTCTATTCAGTACCTAGTTTTGGGTCGGAATGGTTCTGGTGGAATTGGAAGGGGAGACATGCCCAAGCTTACGTTGACTTCATGAAAGCTAACTACCCTCCTGGGTTTGAATACGCCGACTTTGCTCCAATGTTCACAGCGGAGTTCTATGATCCAGAGTTATGGGCTGATATGTTCAATGAATCAGGAGCAAGGTAAGTGTTTGAAAGAATAATTGAGAGAATGAAACCTGAAAATAAGCAAAATACAATTGAGAGAATGTTTTTTGTAATAGTCTTCTCAATATTCTTCAAAACGCATTAGGATAAGAGTTCAATTGTTCTTAGTGGAACTATAACGAGATATTCATACCTATTACATGTTTTTATATTTTACAGGTACATCGTTCTCAGCAGCAAGCACCACGAGGGATTCACACACTGGCCCTCCAACGTTTCCTTCAACTGGAATTCTCTGGATGTTGGACCTCATAGGGACCTTATAGGTACTCTTAACTAAAATGTTTATAAGAATTGAACAGCGCTGTGTCCGATACAGTACCCACCTTATCAAACTTTGGTTAGAATCAGAATTTGATCAGAATTACCAGTAACACATAGACGTCAAGTACAACATCCATATCATTGCCAGCAGCATTAATACAATCAATGTCATAATTGTACAGTTGGTATTATCAAATATCAAAGCTCAAATTTGCCACCCCTTTACTCTGCTAATCTTATATGATTGGCGGTTTATTGCTACAATCAATTTTAGGTGATCTTGCAAGTGCCATCCGTAGTCGCACCAACACCCACTTTGGTCTCTACCACTCTCTATTTGAATGGTTTCATCCTCTCTACCTTCAGGACAAAGCTAACAAGTTCCAAACGAACAAGTTTGTCATGGTAAGCAACTTCTCAGCGGTTGTAAATCGCTACCTGGTAGTTCCACCATGGATTTTAACTCCCTTCCATGTAGCTCCACTAAGGGTCTGACCTCGCTGCCCGGCACTGGCTTTATCTTTAGTTGGAATTTACTTCCCGGCAGCTCCACCACTGGTCGAAACCCCTTCCCATCAGCTCTACCATTTATGATAAAAAGACTATATATAGACATTGGAAAATATTGGGAAAAACGCTTTGAAGCTGTTTATAGTAAGAGGGTCTATCATTTTTGGTCCTCTGCTTGTTCATTTAATAAGCCTACAGTAAAGTAAACAATTCTCGAAAAATTCAATCTCAGAGGTACATTAATAGTGAAAACGTCTACATATTCAACTACATTGGACTTAATTTTCATTCCAAAGGAAAAGACTTTACCCGAGTTGATAGAGATTGTTAATGCCTACAAACCAGATGTTATCTGGTCAGATGGTGATTGGGAGGCCAAGGATTGGTACTGGAATTCTACAGACTTCATTGCGTGGCTTTACAATGAAAGGTACTCCGTGTAGAAAGTATCCCGAAATATCTCCTAAAATACGATCGAAGCGTTTCTGAAGCAAGAGGGAAACGAAGAGTACACTGATTGGCATAGTATTAGGTCGAGTCTCATCAAATGGAATCGGGAATGGAATACAACTCATGTTGAACTCCCCTTCTCCATTGTTCTCTTTTAATCAATGAGCCACTGCAATCAGAGTTTCTACACACTTTGAAAATACATTCGTCATGTTCTGCCATTGAATCTCCATAACAGCCGTATACTAGTATTGATTTGATTTTAGTCCTGTTAAAGACACTGTTGTCACAAATGACCGTTGGGGATCAGGATGTTCCTGTAAACACGGAGACTTCTACACCTGCTCGGATAGATACAACCCAGGTGAGTGGGACACTGCAGTGGCGTTAATGTAGGTACAACTCAGGTTAGCGGGACGCCGCAGTGGCGTTAATGTAGGTACAACCCAGGTTAGTTGGACGCTGCAGTGGCTTTAATGTAGGTACAACCCAGGTGAGTGGGACAATGCAGTGTCCTTAATGCAGTTACAACCTAAGTGATTCGAGTGGGTCACTGCAGTGGCTTTAATGAAGGTACAACCCAGGTAAATGGGACGCTGCAGTGTGGCTTGAAGGGGGGGGGGTATCCGGCTATCACCCGACTTTGCAGTTCCGTGCAGAGACCACAACATGGTTGTGGGCACAACGCAGGTAATGCAGGAACCTTAGATTAATTTACCGTTGAGTTCAGCCATAGTAAGTAAGCCATAGAGAAAATCACAGCAAACTTAAGGTATGTACAACTCATGCCAGTAGAATACTGCACAGGGAATTAAAGTTAATAGAGAGAAAACACTGAAGGTTAACTCCTGAATAATATTGTGTGTAGTTTATCCTTCCATGTGTAACCGACCGCAATGAAACAAGAAATGGCGTCAAAATAACTGAACCTGCGTTTTCAAAGAAAAGACAATATACTTAATAATATTCATTATTGTTTATCACATTGAAGCTCAACTATCCTTTATCTTCTGCATGTTTATCCATCGTGGTAAGCCACGCCCTCTCCATCTCTATGCTGCTGCGATGCAACAGAGAGAGAGATGCTATGAGTGTCAGAATGATGTTTATCGTTCTTGTGGATATTAATTATGAATTGCCTTTGATGCCGTGCAAGTGATACGTTTCAGGTATCAAATTAAACGCCGGTTATTTCGATATTAGACGAACCCAAAGAGGAAATGAATAAGAAACACAATACTCACTCTGAAAAAGCAATCTTAATACCGAGAGAATACAATTACGACACTTAGTGGAATTACACCTATTTCATGGCTAAAGGCGTTTTCAAGGCGTTTTGGGTAACGTAGGCTAGAAAACCGCAATCCTGATTACACCAGAATTTTAAAAGCGCCTTGAAGACAACTTTTCGTGATTACACTTGATTTTTCTAAAGCGCTTTTAGACTGATTTAAGACAAAAATTTGCCATCAACCATCGCATTTGCATCAAAATCTGCTATTTAGATATACACTTTGAACCGTAGCGCCATCTCTGGAGATTCAAAATGATCCGATACTGTATGTTCCTTTTTTCTTAAATCGTATTCAATCTACCTCTGGCGTTAACAAATATGTGCTAAAGAAAGCATGGAAAACAATGCACGAGCGCGCAAAGAGAGAAGCTCGGTCGTTAGGAGAGATCCAAGAGAGATCCAGTAAAATGAAGATGGTACTTTTGTTGGGGCTGTTTGGCATCCTTGGTAATATGGGTCAGGAACGAACGATGTGGACAAGACAAAGATCTCGTCATTTTTTTGACTTCATTGTAGAGAGGTAATTTCAACTATTCAATCATCCCCTCCCCTCGCCTTCCCCAATCTACAATAGTACCGGAATTTCTCGTATATAAGCCCTGGGCGTATAACTGAAAGAAGGGGTAATATTGTCCGTTATTTTATCATTTTTTATACGCCCATGGGCGTATACATATAAGACTTTAGATTTTTGGCCCAGTGAGCGTCAAAGTGATCGAGAAGAGCTATTCAATAATACTATGGTGCTCAAAATATTAGCTACTTTCTTCTGTTCGGGATGCTGAATCATCAATATCCGTCGTCAATAGTATTATATTATTTATTTAATTTACGGTTATTCTATTTACAAATTTCGAAAGCATACGCTCAGTATTGACGTGGTCCCAATAAATTCTACTTTGTTTCGACATTTTGGTGATTTGATTGAGTTTTGCACAATATTTGAATTTTGTTTTTTGAAGTTTCCTCCACACCGGAAATCAATAACATGCTTGATGCTCATGCGCAAATATAGTTTTCGTTCAGTGTAAAATCGAGTTAAAGCGCCTTGAAAAAAAATCGGTATTACACCTACACGTTAAACCGCCTTTGGGTGTGAAAGCGGTTTTTAATGACTAGGGGTCTGGGAGGATTACAAAAGCGCTTTTCTAAATCCGCGATCGTCATTACACCTGACTCTAAAGGCGGGTCGAAACCCGATAGGATTTTAAAAAGCGCTTTTACATCGTAGGTGTAATTCCACCTACTAATACCTTGTAAATTTGAATTAACAATTTTGCTCTATATTTCAAGAAGCCTAGTGTATAATGCCCCAATACAGAACTGAAAATAGGGAGTTTAAGCTTGCATATAAAATCGTATACGTATGACCAATCGCCCATACAAATGCATTGCTTAGACATTTTTCGTTCACGTTTAGGTTGTGAAAAACATTGCAAGCCTCAACTCCCTAATAAACACAAACACCGTCAATCTAATCATGCCACACTCAAATTAATCAGCATTACGCCAAAACATCATTTTTCTTCAAGACAATTTTGTTCTAACTAATCATCAGTCTAAACAGGAATTAGAGTCTTAGGATGTTTAGGCCTATCAAAGAGTTCTTTTCTTTCGGGTATAATTATATCACGGCGACCCGCTATGTCACCATAACCGTATGGTCACTTCATCAATGAGACTCGGATTGGTAGACATATTCGTTCACACTCGGCTCCCGTCGGTCGGAATGCAGTGAAAACCGAGCTTGCGAATTCAAGATGTTGCTATCACCTCATTTTACCGACGCGTATTATACCGAAAGCATTATACCGACGCGCATTGTGCCGAAAACCAACATATAGGCCTACCGATGCGCGTTGCACCGAAATCCTTGCCAGTAGTACGGGCACATTGCCTTCACCCATCAGTTTTATGACGTGCACTTCCGCGTGGGACTATATCTTTTCAGTACAGCGGGAATTTCAAGTTCAATTGTCAGTGTAGACATAAAAAGTTGAAGTCCTCATACTCGCGCGTTTTCCATATTTTCATTTGAAACCCGCAAGAACAGTGCTTTGAATCTAGCTCTATACTCTTTCAAAACGTCATGTAGACACATGATTATGTACATGTATGATAGTGCACAGTAACATTATATAGGCATAGAATAATAAAAGTGGAGCCTGAAAAGTCAAATACGAGGGTTGTCCCATAAGTCTTGAAATTTTTATTCTTATTCATAGAATATTTGAGATACAATGATTAAAATTTCACATTTTGTAACGTAGATATATTTCTACTATCTCTGTAAGTTTCATAGCATAATAAGATCATTTGGTAATGTTACAGATGATTAAAAATGGAATGTTGGGGGTACCCGGGGCAGAAAACAGGATAAAAATACAAATATGACGTAAAAATTAAGGATTTGGGAACCCCTGGCTCAGCTCAACACGTTGCCTTTTCTGCTCCTCTGTCAGAATATGTGGAATGAATCTAGGGGCTACCTTTGACATCCAAAGGTCTTTCTTCATCACTCTGTGAGCAGTACTCTTACTAATATCAAAGTCTAAGCGATCTTCCTACACTGAGTAGTTCTCATTTCAGCCCTTATAGGCCTACTCTATCTGCAATATGTGATATGAGATTGTCACTGGATTTTGGCCTTCCACTTCTAGGAGGATCTTCCAGGCTGGTATCTCCAGTTTTTAACTTCTTCTATCACCTCCATACTGTAGGTGCACTTGGAGTTTACTGTCTATATACTTTTTCCATGGCTGTTCTTGTTTGTGTAGGTGTATGCCTTAAGGAGGCGTGGTATTGCACAACTGCACGCAAAGATTTAACATCTGGTGACAAAATCCCTGCCATTTTGATTTTCAAAATGCTGTGGCTCTGTACCAAAATTGAGCAATTGTGCTAGTTTATTATGACATCACAGAGGTATTTCATAAGATTTTACCAAGAATACAGTGTTTTTGTCAATCTTGACAGGTGATTCACAATTTAAGATACATACCATCCTTTAAAATCCTTAATACTCCCACGGCTCCATTTTACATTTTTACTATATTTCATTACTGCCCCACCCCCCGACTCCCCCGGTTACCATAGCAACCATAATAGTTACT